CTCATTCCCACCCCCCACCCCACAAACAAGCTGTCTGCAGCTGATACCTTCTGGCAAGAGGAAAATCGGCTTTCTCCAATGGATTGTCACTGGATATGTCAACTGTACTCCTGGGCACACTACATGGATTTTATTCATTTGTTTTTTGGGAGGTTTGAGAGGGTGTGTGTTGGCATTTTTTTTTTCTTACTGATCTTTTAATTGTTTTAATTTTCATTTTTGAGAGGGGTTGTTATTTTGTTTTTTTAATTTTTTTTTGTTTTTTAGAAACAGAAAGTACATAAAGCTGGGTACATAAAGAGGTGGAAAGTATCTGAGAGGTGTTAGAGGAGGGGAGAAAACATAACTAAAATATATTGTATGAAATAATTTTAATTAAAACATAAAGTTAAATTAAAAAATTGTTTAGTCCTGGTCAAATTTAGATTCTGTCAGCAAGATTACTGCACAGGCACTAGGCAATGCTGAGACAATCTTGGGAGCACACTGTATCAGTTGGGACCCTCTGTGAAACATAGCTAGTAGACTGAATACATACTGGATCAGAGAGAGGTCTCAGAAGGTAAAAGAGTTTGCACCAAGCCTTACAGCCTGAGTTCCATTCCCAGGTCCCACATGGTAGAAGGAAAGAACTGGTTCTTGAAAGTTGTTCTCTGACTTCTATATGTGTATGGTGGCATCCATAAGTATACACACACACACACACACACACACTACATAAGTAAATAGATAAATGTAACAAGAAACATAGCATTAAAAAACAATTATATATTACAAGGGGTAGTTATTAAATTGGCATAAACAATATTGCTATCTGCAAGTTGAGACCCCAGTAGCTCTTTAGGGTATCTGGTTGGATACCTCAGTAGTCCCAGTATGCTGCTGACAGTCTGATGGCTTCCTGGAAAGCCACTGACTTTTAGTCCACATGGGAAAGTTGAAGGATATTGGTTTCCAGTGTTAGCAAAGCATGGCAACAGCAGCAACAGAATAGATGCACTCACAGGCAGGGGTGAGAGCAAGCAGGCAAAGCATCACTCTTTCCTCCCTTACATCTTCTGAATGGGCTACCTAGAGAAAGTGTAGCTCATTCTGTGGGAGAGTTTTCCTCCTCAAGCAATCCTCCCAGAAAGTACTTTCACAGACTCTTTAGTTGCTTGCAGATACAATCAAGTTGATAATGAAAATTAATCATCACATACATTATGTTTATCTGTATTAGGAGGAGGTATCCATGTATTTGCATACAGGGAACATGTTTGTGCACATGCAGAGGCCAGAGGGAGAGACCAGGCATCTTTCTCTTCTCTTGCATTTCCTACCAACATCTAGAAGCAGCCAGTCTCCAAAGAGACACCATAACTTCCTGTGGGAAATGGAACTTGAAACCAAAATGATGCTTTAGGTAGGAGTGCTTTTGTCCCTGGGTTGTGTTTGCTCTGAAGCCTTGTGAATAAACATAGCGAGCCAAGAAACACTTCTTATTTTCCTTATGACAAAAGTATACTGTGTTCATTTGGATATTTTGATTTAAATTCAAGACAAAAGAGTTTGATTTAACCTGACCTATCTGACGCCTGCAATGTCCAAATCCCAACTTCCAATAATACTCTATAACTAATCCTTTATTTTATCCCACAGTATACATGCAACCTCATAAGAATAATACCAAGTACTCTAACACTGTCAAGAAGCTGGAAAAAATAACACCAGCAACAAAAAGGCAAAAACATTTTCTGTTGAATTGCAGCAATGATCATACTGTAAAGCCACTAAAAGAACACCACACTTTCTGATGGAGAGATTGTTCCATGGGTAAAAGCCCACACTGCCCGTCTATAGGGCCTGAGTTCGATTCCCAGCAACCGTATCAGTGGGATACAAACACCTATAACTCCAGTTCCAGATCTGACACCCTCTCCTGACCGCTGTGGGCACTGCACTCATGTGCACATTCCCACAGACACATATATACACACAATTAAAAATAAAATCTTTCAGCAAAAGAATTACACAGTCTAGTCATCTCACTGATTTGATGTGCCATGTGTCTTGTTTTGTTTTTCTAGAGACTTTCTGTACATTTCTTTTTCAGTTCGGTGAATTTATAATGACATAAAAATGTACATGCGTCCATAGACAAATCTAAAAGACAGGGTATAGCCACATTGCCTAATTCAAGTTCTTCTCCCTCTACCCTTTATAAAGCTTTGGGTATGTAATTTGGTTTTACAATAACAAAAAAAAATGTGCTTATATTTGCTGCACCCCAAACTTTATTAGATGGAGAGAACACCGTAAATTTTTTTTCCTGCCTTGCTTTTTTTCCACTGACACATCCTGAAGACCATTATTCCCACTATACTGGGGTATTCCTAATTCCTGTCCAGTGGTTCATACTACCCCAGGGTACAAATGCCAAGGTGACTTCAGTTAGCTCCTAACTTAGGAACATTGAAGTGTTAACAGGATTATTTGCATAAACAGGGTAACCCTTTATAGTCCCACACATTCATCCCTTAAAAAAAAAAAAAAAAAAAAAAACACTGCTAGACATTTTTAGACTGAGCCCCCATGTAGGGAATGTATAGTTTTGCTTCTGCACCTGAAGTGCATGAGAATATGAGAATAACTGTGTCACTTTTGGATTGCCACCATCTGCTATGTGAGAAAGGGTTGCTTGTGCTCGCGTTTTGTAACTCTAGAATTAGTCATTTGAGCACCTTTTGTTGTGTGAAATTGCTATCCGTAGTTTTACTCATTTTCCACAGATTTGGTCTGGTCTTTTCCTTTTTTAATGATCTATTCATAAATTACAGGTTCCAGATTTTATACTATCACGGGTTACCACAGTACCAAGTTTTCCACCTGACCTGCTTATTTAATGAGTGACTTTTTCTAACTACTCAAAACTTCCTTGTATTTGTAAGCTTCTTTATCTGTGTGTGCATGATATGATGCATGTATGTGCAGTGGGTATGTGAGTGTGAGTGTATCTGAGTGCAGAGGTGAATGCCACTGGGAACATGTGGAGATTAAAGAATCCTGAGCATGTCATTGCTTTCCCCGTTGTTCCAGGCAGGGTGTTGTGCACGCGGCTGCTCATACCAGGCTAGCTGACCTGCCTGTTTTTAAAGACTCCTTCCTGGATGGCAGCATCTGGAAGTATGTGGGCTGGGATTACAGATGCATGATGCTGTATCCTGGTTTCTGTGGGTTCTGGAGATGCACTCTCTGGCCCTCAAGCTTATGCTGCAAACACTTTGTCTACTGAGCCACATCCCCACCCCCACCTCTATTTTGACACAGTCAAATATAACCACCATCTTCATGATTGTGCTTGGATCTGAATTCATGACTAGGAGTTTCCTCTGTGCTATAGACAAATACCGCCCCCCCCCCCCACACACACACAGTCTTGAGTCTTGCCTGGTGCTTGTGAGCTTTCATTTTTTTTTTTTTTTTTTTTTTTTTTTGGTACAGGTGTGTTTATCATACACTTAGAATTTATCAATGTTATGCCAGCAAACTGTTTTGTAAAAGTTCAGCTCAGGGGTGGGAAAGATGATTTAGCCATTATGAGGGAGAATTGATCTTGCAGAGGATAATTTTCAGCACCTGTGTTAGGCAACTTATAACTGCCTGTAATTTCAGTTCCAAAGGGATCTCAGCCTTTGGATTCTCTCTCTCTCTCTCTCTCTCTCTCTCTCTCTCTCTCTCTCTCTCTCTCTCTCTCACACACACACACACACACACACACACACACACTAAATAAATATATAAATAAATAAATAAAAATAATTCAGCCTGGCAGGTAATGGCACTTACCATCAAATCTGATAATCTGCATTTGATCCCCAGAACCCATGTGGTAGAAAAAGAGAATAGAGTCTTCAAGTTGTCCTCTGACCTCCAAACATATACTATGTTATAGGAGTATCCCCACACGATAATAAATACATAAATAAATATATCCTTATGCCTAAAATGTCAACCTCAAGACTGGATATAGCTCAGTGGTAGAGTGCATACCTGGGTTTGCTCCTAAGCACACCACATAAAAAGAAAAAAGAAAAAGCCCATACAACTGAATGAAGGTTGACATCTATATGGAACCATGGTCTACTTATTTAGTTCCCATTTTGAAGCTTTATGCATGTATATCATTAGTCACATAACCAGTTAACATGGGTTAAATGTAAGCAGGGTGGTTTGAATAAGAATGGTACCCTACCAGGATTAAACTTGTCTTAGGTTTCTATTGCTGAGAAGAGATGCCATGACTATGGCTACTCTTATAAAGGAAAATATTTAATTGGGGATGGCTTACTATTCATTTAGTCCATTATCATCATGGTGGGAAGCAAGAAGGCTCATAGACAGACATAGTGCTTGAGAAGGAGCTGGAGAATTCTCTACCTGGATCAGCAGGCAGCAGAAGAGAGCATGACACTGAGCCTGGTTTGAGCATCGGAATCCTCAAAGCCCACCCCCAGTGATACATTTCCTCTAACACCGCCACACCTACTCCATCAAGACCACGACTTCTAATAGTGCCACTCTCTATGAGCCAAAGGGGGTCATTTGTATTCAAACCATCACAGAACTCAAGTCTCCTTGCTTGATCGCTGGCCTTCATCTATATTTTTAACTGAGACTGGTCTATAGTGTTCTTATTTGGAGAACTCTGTGATGGATTTGGGAATTAATACCTTTATATTTATAAAACAAATAGCCTACATTTTTCTTCAATGGTCTACAATAGTATTATAAGCATTGCAACGAATGATTCGGTCTTTAGAATTCTGATAACACTGTTCTGTGCTTTTCTTGGGGAAGGTTTTTACTACTCCCTGCAAATTCACCTGTCTCAGAACATTGCTAGGCCCCGCCTCTCTGCCCTGCACGGACCCCGCCCCTTTGCGCAGGCCCGGCTTGCCGTCCATCCAACCAATCGTGGAACACAACCGTGGGGGCCGGACTTCCTGCTCTATCAATGCCCCAGCAGTGCAGGCTCCGCCCCCGCCAGGAGCTGGGCCAGAAGATGGCGGCAGCCGCGGAGCTGAAGCTGCTGGAGAGGTCTCTGGGACTGAGGCCGGGGAATAAGTACAGCGCTCAGGGCGAGCGACAGGTGAGGCGGGGCGGCGGGCGAGCGGCGAGTTGGCCCGGAGCCTGCCGGGACTCGAGAGTGGACCCGGCGAGGTCTCTCGCGAGCGGACGCTGCGCCCCACGTGCGTGCGTGCGGGACGGGCCGCATGATTTGGTCTGGACCTCCGGGCAAATGTCATCATCCCTTCTGGGAGCAGACAGCCAGCTCGGGGAGGCGTGGGCAGAGCCGCGGGTTGAGATCCCTCTAGGCGGGCGTTAGCTGCGAATGTTCCTTTCACCCAGCGGCCACCGTGCAAGCAGTCACGGGGATGGAGCGGGTATGCGGCCGGGGACTCGCCCTGCAGGCGGCTGGCTGGCTCCAACACCGGGACAAGTACGGTAGCCGCTTGGCGGCGAGGGCAAGGAATGGGGCCCTGATCATTATGAGGACACATTGGCTTGGCTGTGCAGTGTGCAGAGAACTGAGGAAGTTACCCCGGTGTGGGATTGTGGGGCTTCTGATGAGATGGAAGGATTCCGATTTCACAGGGTGTTGAAAATGAGTTGATAACATACTATTTGCCTTGGAAAGACTGTGTTAGAGGGAGGAATGGTAGTGGGAAACCCACTTTGAATGTGTATTTGGGGGAGTGGTTCCAGATAGCTTGTTCTTGCTTGGGCCCTAATTTTCATTTTTTTTTTTTTTTCATTAGGTACAGGTTAAATTTTTGTTCAAAACGTAGCAGTGTTGTGGGATTTACACTAACTTAAAGTGACACCTGGAAAGGTTCAGTGACTTGCCTGTGACAAGCTGCAAAGGCCACCCTCCCCAGAGGTGATGATGTTCTCTGTCCTCGTCCCCTTTCCTTTGCATCAGTCACTACTGCCACATTTGGCTTAGGAAACTAGCCAAGACATGAATATTCCTTTGAGGGTTATTTAATCTGAGGGACAGTCACCAGCAATTAAGAACCCAACAGAACAAGCACTGGGAAGGCACACAATGAGGAACGGCACAGAGGAAGTGGGGAATTGTTTGTTTGTTTGGGTTTTGAGGCAGGATTTCTTTATGTAGTCCAGACTGTCCTGGATCTGTAGGCCAAGCTGGCCTTGAACACATAGAGATCCATCTGCCTCTGCGAGTGCTGGGACTAAAGGTGTGCACCACCACCCCCCAGCTCCTGGTTAATACTTTTCACCTGGTGTGGTTTTTAATTTTCCAGAGAATCCAAGGTTATCTTCTGGTCTCCAAGGCATCTATGTGGTGCACAGACATACAAAACACCCATATACATATAATAAAGCATTTGAAGTTTAAAAGAGAACCAACCAACTAGTCCTTGAATTTATAGCCCATAAAGGGGGAAAGAAATGAAATGTTTCCTTTGTCTTGTAAGGGTTCCAAAATTGGTTGTAGGTGATGTCTGTGAGTGTTCCCAGAACATGCCTTATTGATTCATGGAAGGGCTACATTTCCCACAGTATCGGTCCTTGTAGTTTTGAGTGAGTGGTTACATGAAGAAGTGATAAAAATTACTTCCAGAAGGAAACATCTGGTTGTTGGCACAAGCATCTCAGGCCAGCTACTCCCCTGTTGTGGTTTTAGAAATGCTTCAAGAGAATTGCTACAAAGCACAAACCAGGCGTGATATGGCACTGGTACAAATAGTCTCCTTAAACTTCCATAGGCTTTTATGGGGCAGGGGATGCAACTCAGTGCAAGGCCCTGGGTTCTATCCCCAACACCACAAAAAAAATAAATGTATAGACTTATTTTACTGCACCAATAAGATTTTAGGTTTGGTAAAGCTGTATAATCTAATTTGTCTAAATAGGTATTATCTGGTTTATGGGTAAGAGCAATCTGTTTTTCTTGTTTTTTGTTTTGGTTGCAGGGTTTCCCTATGTAGCCCAGGCTAGACTGAAACCTGTAATCATCTTTCCTCAGCCTCTCAAGTTGCTGGAATTACAGGCATGGGCCACTACATGGGCCAAGTGTGGGGAGTCATGAGTGAAATTAATGAAGTATTGTGGTTTCTGTTGTATACTCCTAGTTCTAAATTTTGATGACTATTTTTGTAGTGTTTCTTTCTACCAGTTACGTCATCCAGCATGCCATTAAATTATAAATCCTATGACTGCCATTGTCCTAACTTTCAGTTATACATAATTTAGTATTATAGAGTATTTCCAAAAACTGGGGATTTGAGTGCTTAGCTCCAGTTTAGAATCATAATGGTTGTTGTTGTTTTCTGATTTTTTTTTTTTCTCCTTTTAAGATTCCAGTTCTACAAACGAACAATGGTCCAAGTCTAATGGGATTGGCCACCATCGCAACCCATCTAGTCAAACAAGCCAATAAAGAGCACTTGCTGGGGAGCACCGCAGAAGAAAAGGCCATCGTTCAGCAGTGGTTAGAGTACAGGACCACCCAAGTAGATGGACACTCCAGTAAAGAAGACATCCACACCCTGCTGAAGGTATCTTGGCTATGTGTGTAGGCTGTACCACAGGAGCCAGGAAGTAAAGTCCCTCTTCCCTGAGGATCTCCACTTGCTGGCCTTCTCTCCCATTCCCCTCTGCACTGAGTGAAATAAGCAAGCTCCATGAGGCACCTACACAGAGACCTAGCAGGGAAGGGAGAGAAGAAGCCATTTAATGACAGTGCTTTAGTTTTGTGTGATACAGAAGCTCTTTAGATTGGTTTGAAACTGCAAACATGCTTAACTATACAGGCTCAGACTTCCAGGTACAGTCTTAAAATGGCTAGGTGGTAAATTTTATGTTGTGCATCTAATCTTAATTAAAATATTAATATATACTGATATATATAGCAAAGTGTTTGAAATACATGTTTATGTATTTTATTTTGTATCTGTAGTTTGTGTGTATGTGAAGATTGTGTGCATGCCTGTGCAAGTGGGGTCAGAGGTCAACCTCAGGTGTCTCCTATTTTCTGCACATTGTTTGGTTGAGGCAAGTACTCTCACTAAACCCAAAGCTCATGGATGACTAGAAAGGTTGGCCAGTGAGCTCTGGGGATCCACATGTCTCTGCCTCCATGAGGGTTACAGGCGTATAGTACTGTGTCCAGCTTTTATGTGGATGCTGAAGGTCTCACCTGAAGTGAGGTGCCCATGCTGTGTTGTGTGCACGCACTTACACTGAGCCATCTTCCCAGCCAGAGTGAGTACGGTTTACACCTTATAAGAATGAAACATTGCCCTCTGACGTGATCATAGATAGCATTTAGAATGTCATTTCTGTTGGAGTTTTGTTTTTTCTCTTAGACAGTTGGCATCTGGTTTGTGATTTTTTTTTTTTTATTGTCAGGTTTTATTGTTTGTTTGTTTCCAAAAGAGTCTCCACAATGCTCTCTCCCCAGTGTGCCCGCCCCATTCTCCTAGGTGCTGAGGTGAACCACTGCATGCACCTTAAAGATTAAGTTTCTCCAGTTAAGTCTCAGTACTGTTCTTTGGGTAGCTGTCTAAATGTTTTAAGTCATGTACCACAACAGTTTCGTCACTGCTGTTTTTAAATTACGACACTTTTTCTTCTTACAGGATCTGAATTCCTATCTTGAAGACAAAGTCTACCTTGCAGGCTATAACTTCACCTTGGCAGACATCCTACTGTACTACGGGCTCCATCGCTTTATAGTGAGTATTTAGGTGGTGTTTAGCTTCTTTTCTGTAGTATTCAGAATCACATTTAAAAAAAAAAAAATGTTGTGGAATTTTAATCAGGTTTACATTTTGGCTTTTTTTTTTTTTTTTTTTTTTTTTTTAAGTTATTTCTAAGTAAGGTAGCTGGAGACAAAACTTGCCATGTAGTCCATTTGCAGAGCTGCACCCTGTCTTCTACTCTCGACTACTGTATTACTTACTGTATTTTCAGCTTCTGCCTCTGCTCTTCTACCACAGCTGCTGCCTCTGACTCTGTCATCATCATCATCCTGCTACATCCTGCTACACACACATTCTCTCTCTCTCTCTCTCTCTCTCTCTCTCTCTCCCTCCCTCCCTCCCTCCCTCTGTCTCCCCCTCCCTCCCCCCCTTCTTCTGTGCACCTTCCTACCCAAGCTCTTGATCAGGTATCTTGGTTGCGCATCCTAACCTGATGTAATGACTCCAGTTTACTTGCGTGTTTTCCTTACCATCAAGTGTCTTGCCCCTTCTCCTTGACTTTAGCCACATCTTATTGCCCCCGTCGGCTTCTTTGCTGTGCTATATAGTTACAGCCATGCTTTTTGTGTATGAAGAGCTCTGTTTGAGAAATTACCTAAGTATAGCTTGCGAGCCTTAGAAAGTCTCTCACTCTGATTGCAGCAAGGCTTATGTAGTGATCAGCTCTCCTTCCTTCTACGTGTCTGTAGGTGTTTCTCCCTCTGACTTCTCGCCACACAGCCACTCCCTGTCTTTCTCCTTGTTCATTGAATCCTTTGATCCGCAGCCAACCTGCTTCTAACCCCCCAGCCACCTTTTCTCCCACCCCTGGCCTCAGAAGGCGTTTCCCCAGCCCCACACCTCAGCTCCCCTTCCTTGCCAGCACTTTCTCGGTCCTCTCCCAAACCGTTTTCTTTTTTCCTCTCTTCCTTCACATTTATCCTGTAAGTATTTGGTTAATCTCTACATTTTAAATCATGTGTCATCATCTCAAACTTATGTACAATTGCAGACACTCCCTATTTTCTTTTCACTGTTCTTTACACTGTATACGTGTCAGTCATTACTCCTTGTAGTATTCCTGTGAGGTGGGCACTATTAACCGAGACACAGCAAGGTCAGTCAGGTATCATCTAACTAATCGGCAGACCCAAGTCCAGAACCCAGGCAGTCTGTCTTGAGTTCATGCCTTCTTAGATCTTTTCTCTGCCTTTAAAAAAAAAAAAAAAAAATCTGTCAACTCCCCCAACACCCTTCTTCCATTGTGGGTAAAGACCTCATAACATTTGCTATATTTTCCACTTCATGTATCCAGCCAGGGCCTGGTGTTTCCACTTGCTGGGTCCTCTATCTCTTCCTGGGATCTGGAGTGACTGCAGCCTGATTATCAGTCAGTTTTGTTATCTCTGGTCCATGTAAAGAAGATACAGATAAGGTGGGCTCTATGAGATGAGCCTCATGGCTTCTTAAGACCAGGCTTTTTCCTCCTTAATAATTCCATAGTTCCTCAATCTCAGCAGGTTCAGTTTGTCAGCATGGAAGGGCCTTCTTCTGGCTCCTGCCCCCTTTCTGGCTTTGGCTAGAACACCCTAAAGTAGAGATTTCTTTTGTCTGGCATAATTCCTGGCACACCTCTTACAATCAGGCTTCCATAGTAACAAGTAAATGTGAACATTATAGTATGCTGTCCAAGGAGCAGGATACATACATACATACATACATACATACATACATACATACATACATACATACATACACGTGTGTGTGTGTATGTGTGTGTGTGTGTGTGTGTGTAGGTATATTTGCAAGGACCAAGGCAGCTCTTTCTAAGTGTCTTAGTGTATAGAGAAGCCCTTCGTAAACTGAAAGCCACCAGAGTAAGAAGTGATACGGTTAGATTATGCCCTCTTCTGTAGCAGATTCCACATTACCTGACCGAGCCAACCACAGAGCAGAAATACATAAAAAAAAATCATATCTGTACTGAACACACACAGACCTCCCTTGTCTTTACTTCACCACTACAGGGTGACATCTGCTTTATCCCAGAGCAGATGGTGCATTAGATATTACCCGCCTCCTACAGAAACTAATGAATTGTTTCATTCTTAATCCACCGGTTAAGCCATACTTCTCAGTTTGGATTTACTTTATTGCCAGCTATACCCCAAGTTATGTATGGTGATGCACACCTATAATCCCAGCACTTGGGAGACTGAGGCAGGAGGGTTGCCACAATTTCAAGACTAGCCAGAACTGCACAGTGAGATACAGGGCAAAGGAGGCTTTCTGAAGTGGGTGCGTTAGTTTTTCTAACATCTTAATGGCCTAGTTGATTAGCTTTGCATAGCACTCCCTATTATGTACTTAAAATTATCAAGAGTTGTGTACTGTCCACTATATGGGCAGGCACATAAAAGAAGCATAAACCTTTATTTTTCAAGGAACTACTCATCTCATTGAAAAGATAGATTGTTTTACATAAAAATAAAAAAATAGAGAAAATGGAAACAAGAACTGATTTGTGGTCATAATATAATTTGATTATTTAAAGAGTTGGGTAATGCAGGAAAAAGACACATGACAAATGATGTACAGAATGATTGTCCTTGGCTAGCCAGAGAATGGCCATATGATTTCTCATCAAAAAGGAACATGTGTAGCTGTGAAAGGAAGCTTTTCATTACTCTGCTTGTACAGGAAAATGTAGTAGGTGAATGGTCCCCAAATTTAGAAGGAATATGACTCATTTACACAAAGCTAGGAATGGTGAAGCTGGTGTCTTATTTCTTTGTCCCCTCCTGACTCAGCATAGTGGCTTATCCAGATGCAAGATGTTGAGATTAGCAATATTCGGTATTCTGTGTTCCTATTTTACGTTGTGTATCTACAGTGAAATGTAGTGTGTTGTTATGTTCTTCAGGATACTTAGAGTAATTTATGTACATGTGAAGAAAGCTTCATTACAGCTGAAACATCAGTCACTACAGCCTCCATTTATTCCATTCTAGCTTCAATGTTCTTAGTAGCTTCTTGAACTTAGAATGATGATGAGGCAGAATTTATCTCATTTCAAAATGAGAAAAGCCTCCAAGGTAAAGAGGATTTGCTGCTAATGGTAGCAAACATACATTCTTTTAACTTGGGGAGTCCTGACTTTACTTGAACAAGATCATGGCTGGAAGGGCAGTTACATCTCAACAGAGTTGGTCGATTTACACATTTAGCCATGACACATATTTTGGTGTTATTTAATGTTTGAAAGCTTAGTACTGGGAGAAATATGCAGTGACTATCAGCAAGCTAGTGATTACAGAACTCTGAGGTCTGGGCTTCCTGAAGCATGAAGCCATTATTAAGAAGGAAGATTTCTCCCATCTAATTCAAAACAAAGATGATGGTGAAGTATGTGAAACTCATGCACACTACGTGTGTATTTGCATTTTCCTCTGCTGGGCTCCTGCATATCCTGGGTAGGAACCTGTACACCATTGCTGTTCCATAGCAGCGAACAAAATCATAATTTTACAGTACAAAACACTCCTAGCTCCAGCTGCACAGATTCTTGACTCTGAGTCAGGCGTCTTGAAAGGCCTTTGGTTTTCAGGAGACTTGCAATTGTTTCACTCAGTTCTGAATATTAAAATCAGGGTTATCCTAATCTTCAGCCATTTAAACCAATTTATATTTTCTATTCTGGAATGTATATCTTCTATGGTGGTAGTATCTGTTGTGATTAAATGTATTAGGGTTATCATTTTCACAGCAACACTGGATAGAATAATTCCTAAGTCTCTTTGTTGACCATTGCTTTGGGTTTGTACAAATCACAGTGTATGCCCTTTCCCAGTAGAGAGCAGGCAAGGTATTTACAGGAGGAAAGCCTTCTTAAGGAATAGGCCTCATATACTAATACCCTCTGGAGATAGAGTGATGCCTGGTGTTAAGTGACATTTTGTTAATTGGATCTGAGTACACACAGGTGTGAGAACAGCAACTGCTAGGTGTTAAGTGTGACTTGGCCACCTACTTATCCAGCTTTGTTCACTTTAGCAGTATACTGATACTTGCCCAATCCTGTGTTCCTTCCCTTAGTGTTTTGTGTTCTGTAATCAGCATAGTGTGTGAAACAAAACCTTCAACAGTTAAGGAACCTTGGGTCATCAAGTTACCCCTTAGTTACAGGTCTGGCTGAGAAGTTCTGAGATTGGGTTTCACTTACTGCATGTTATATTTTGCTTTGTCAACAATGCCCATATTGTGGCTGTCGATTCCAACTCTAGCACCAACGGCTTTCTTCAGTGATTCTACTAAGCAATGGTCCCTTATAATCAGACTGTGCTTTGAGGTTGATAGAATCCTTTGTGATGCTGTGGCTGACCCGTAAGATTGTTTTGAGCACCAGTGGAATATGGGTTCTTTGAGAAGGGAAGAAGGGAAAGAAATCACTATGAAGCAATCCCCAGAAAGACTATTCAGAGACAGCCTGGTGCCATTGGAAGGATAAAGCCAGGCTGCAAAGAGTTGGCTTGAATGTTTCCCACATTTCTTAGTGGAAAATAAGTGAATCAGAATGTTATCTGTTTGGCTTTAAGGTTCAAAGTAATTACTGAGTTCCAGTATAAACAAAAATGAGTAAGTAGGAGAAAGAGCTCGCGCCACCAGAGACACACTGGCATCTAGGCCAGTGAGAAGCAAGAGGCAGCATTTGCATTGTGTTCCCCCTTATTTAAAAGAAAAAGTAAACTAACTGGGTGAAAGATTTGGTTAGAAAGCCAGTGTTATAAATGGAATAGCCCAGGAATCCCATCAGAACCATTTTTTAAAATAGTGTGAGTTCAGTAAAGATTTCAAAAAATCACTTGCTTAGTTTGTTGACAGTAACTTTATGTGGAAAATTTTTAATGTTTTTTAAAAAGTAGTAGAGGTGACATGACAAGTTCAGTCATCATTTTCTCAGACTCAGACAAAATTCAAGGCCTAAGCAGTCAACGGATAGTAAAGAATGCTCTGATCCATTCAGGAAGCCTGTGTGTTTCTAGTGGAAGAGTGAGTAAGCTTAAATCAACTGAGACTACTATGCAGTAGATCTCCTATCCAAAAATGGTTGGATTAAACTTGAAAATATTAGGATAGTTAGATGATATTAGAATAAAAATCATTTTGTACTTAGGTTGGACTATAGTCCTTTATAGGATGGAACATATGTGTATATATAGATAGATTTATGTCATCAATTGGTATTTTTTTAAAATAATGAGCCTGGTAGCAACAAATACTAGTTTTGTATGTTAGCATATTTTTTACAATATGAAGTATGCAGTTCAAAATCTCAGTGCATAAGCTAAAGACAAATCAAGTAATTATTACTACTTCAGTGTTTGGAAATGTTCATCCTGAAAAATAGTACCTCATGGACTCACTAAGTACAGTTTTGGTGTAATGAAATAGCTCTAAAAGTCTAAGAAGGTTATCGTTTATTCTTTCATTACCACCAAGGCAACTCAGTGGTAAAACACTTGCCTGACATGTCAAGGCCCTTACTATCAACCAAACAACAAAAAAAGGAGTAAATAACCCCAATATTCTCTTGAAGTTCTTGGTGAAATTTGTGATATAATGGTGAAAAGTTAGAAAAAAAACTAATTCATTTACAAAGTATTTTCTCAGTACAGACTAAGGCCGTAAGCCATTGTCTCCTATTTCTATGTTAATGCATCACCTGCTTCTGTTATTTCAAGTGTAAAACTCAAGAATATGTAAAACCATAAATTGTAATAAAAACTACCCTTTATGCTAAAAAAAAAAAAAAAAAAGACTTTCTTGTTCAGTCTTGACTAATACCTAGGGATTTTTTTTTTTTTTTTAAGCTCCATATGATGAGTTCTGTTCCTTTAATGTGGACTTTGTTGGGAGTGGTCTTTGCAGGGCTGCAATTGGAGGAAGCTGAGCGGCCCCAAGTCCGTACCTGAGTGGGGGAGTGTGGATGAGGGAAAGGCTAACTATAGACAATAAAGAAAGAGAGACAGAATAAAGGTCAGGAGGGCAGATCAATCAATACTGAAATGCCACGAGTTTATTTTTTGCCACTCTTATATACCATAACCAAAAAGGGGAACACAGTATCATGTATATGGAACAAACAGACTTTTCTTCCTTACTCATTCTAAGGGTTCAGTAACTACACCTTAGTTCTAACTTCTTGTTCCCTAGCCTTAAGGTCAGGAGTAGCCATACCTCAGATTCAACTTCTCCTTCCTTAGCCTTGACAGTCAGCAGTAGCCACACCTCAGATTCAGGTCAGTTGTTTAGACAAAGACAGTCAAAACTTCCTTCTGTAGCCACACCTTTGACCTTTAGGTCTTGTGACTTGCTGACAGCTTTGAACTCTCCCCCTTCTTAATATAATCAAAAATACCTGTGCTTGTGCTACAGGACAGATGACTGTGGATGATTACATCTTTCTGATAACTAGCCACAGTTACTCCTCTTGAAACAAGATCCGTGAATTTGAAGTTTGTGTGTGATGGTCTAAGCTGAGTTGGCAAGTAAAATGTCAATTAAGAGCCTGTTTACTCTTTTACTGTTAAGGTTGTTTTGTGTTTTGTAATAGTTACTACACTCTAGTTTGTCCTTCATTTTGCTAGGTCCTGTGACTTGACAGGTATTTGTCTAGAGGCACACCCACATACAGGCTTGGGACATAAAGTGCCTCCAGACATGTAGTCCTCTGCTTGAGTGTGAACCTGTGGGGCCCAAGTTCTTTCTGTCTTTATTTTCTTTGAGTTATAGACTTACATGTCCTTTATAAATGTTAAGTTAACCACAGGAGAAGGGGTTGTACCACCCACACATCCTGAGCTTACAGCTGCCAGTTACTGCTCTATTTGGCTTCTTCTTACTGAACAACTTAATTCCAAAATTTGTCTTGTAAATATGTATATGTACATATATGTAATGTGTATATACAAATACTTTTTCCTTTTTATTAAATGATGTTCTTGTTCTCCTGTTAAGTATGTTAGACATCAAAAACTCCTCATTTTTGAAGCTTGCTTAGAAATCAGAAAGAACCATTATCTTAGCCTTTTGAAAGCTCTTATCTCTCTTTCTTCGGTTTTTCGAGACAGGGTTTCTCTGTCCTAGAACTAGCTCTGTAGACCAGGCTGTCTGGAACTGGCACAGAGATCTGCCTTTGCCTCCCGAGTGCTGGTATTAATGCAATGTGCCACCACTGCCTGGCTCATTTTCTTTTTCTAGTAAAATGAAAGCCCCTTTGGACCTCTAAATTCTATATTAATGTCAATTTTTGTATTTATGGAAAGCTTGATATTTTCCTAGGAAGCACATTTGGTTTTGAACTGAGCATAAAATCTTAAATGTATTAACTATATCGGTCACAATTGTCTGCAGCTCTCACTTCTGTGTAAACATGTAGGCTTTGAAAACTGGGAGATTGGGTGTTTTTCTGTTTCTGTCGGTTACCCCCTAGTGTTGACAGCTCTGCTTATGTATAGTGAATATTATATTTTGTGTTTTCAATCTCTACTTAGGTTGACCTGACAGTTCAAGAAAAGGAGAAATATCTTAATGTGTCTCGCTGGTTTTGTCACATTCAGCATTACCCTGACATCAGGCAACATCTGTCTAGTGTTGTCTTCATCAAGAACAGACTGTATGCTAACTCCCACTAGAAGTCCCTGCTGTGCAGCAGCAAGATTAGAAGTGTAATGGAAAATGTATTTTGGACCATGGTTCTAATGTAAATTAATATGATGTCATCGTTTCTTTGTTAATGTTGGTAGAATTTTTAATGTGTAAACTCAAGTCTGGCTGTCCCTTAGTTGAAGCTTTGCAGTTTTTTAATGTAAAAGTTCAACTGTCATCCAAACAAATCACAATCGGGTTACAAATTATCTCGTATTTATAGGTGAAATTTATTTTAATAAAAGTTGCAAATCAGTGTCAAAATCTTAAGAAAAAAAAAAGTCACCCTGTCAGCATTTCACATATGGCTTTCTTGTGTTTTTAAATTTTATTCTCCTCTTAGATGTTTATAGTTTATTAAAATCCATGATCAATTATGCTAAGGATTCAGAAAGGGGAGATGAATATTTGTTCTCAAATGGGATTTTAGTAAATGTGATTTTAAAAATCAACTTTGTTTCTTTCTTTGCTGTGGTCAGTGTTTACCAAGGTGAAGCTACTGAGCCCCCTCCAAGAGGGAGTTAGTTAAATGCATATCTGGTGAGCTAATGACTCCTTTCTCTATATTGAAAGACACAGCGACTTAAGAAGCTGGGCTTCTCCATCCCGTCACTTGGCAGCCAGCCAGCACTTTCAGAATCTGCCATTTCAGCATAGTGAAGAGCAGGGCCATAGGACCCTGTTAACCACAGCTCTGTGCATGCTGTAACTCTCACTAGTGTAATAATAATGGGTTATTGAGCGTTAAAGAGCTGGTCTGCCCAAGTAAGAGAAATAGAATCAGGCATATCATGGCCTTCCATTGCATGTTTGTAACCTGACTATAGGATTGTTGAGTCAGAAAGGATCACAGATGCAAGGCCATCCTAGACACTGGGAAACTGGCCTAAAGAGAACACTGGAGGGCTAGGGTATAACTCAACAGTGAGTGCTTACTTAGCATGCACAGGTCCTGTGTCCAGTCCTCAGAGCCAGGAGAGACAGAGAAGGGAGAGGATCCTAGGTAATATGTTTCAGAGTTCTGGGGGGGTGGGGGGGAAGTAAATTTGGAAATATTCAGCACTGTGGTTGAGTCTTGTTATTCCTAAGCATATGGTTTTTAAATAACAAATGAAATGGTTGCATACTTTAGCAATTATTTAGCAAATATTTAGCAATTACAAGAATTATAGCTCAAAAAAGGAGTGTAATGAGTCAGAATTAGGCCACTCTCACCCTATATTAGTGATGAGACTGGTTAAATAAATGCATCTGATGAAATTCCCCTTCTAAGTAGAGGTAAGGATCACTGATTGTTTCACCTTTGATGATAATCATAAAAACTCCATGTCAGTCTCGTCCCACTGCCATCCCTGAGATGCCAGCTTGCTTGGCATGTGACTCCATTTGAGATAAGAGAGAGGGTGGCAGTGTGCTATCTAATTGTGGAAAAGAACAAGTTCACATTACCACTCATAAAATTCAGTCATTGTTTCCTTGAAGATGTAAAAGATTTCAGATTGTTGTTTATCTTTATGTTTCTGAGACACCCATAAGATGCATCTAAAATGACTAACGTGTGCTGTTCCTTCTGAAATGTGGATACCTCTTTCCTGCTATTTTGGTCTTATTGCCCAAACCTGCTTCGCTGACCATGCAGTGATTGCCCTAGTGTGCATTTAGCACTTGCCACAGATAGGCTTCAAGACCTGGGGGTAACATACAATACATTCTTGCTCTTAGAGAATCTACACTCTAACCACTTGTGAACAGGCTCCTGAGGCAGGGTACACAACAATTCTTTTGGGGTCTGCCTGACTTCTTGGAAGTAAATACTAAGTATTGAATCTAACTTGTGTACTGTGTTCTGGGCCCTGTACTGGAAACTTCATGTTAACTCGTGCTGACTTACAAAGCAAGGAGGAAGGAGGGCTGACTTTGCCACATAATAAACAGTGCCTAAGAGCGTGGTGGAATAAATGAGAATCATATGACCTTTCAGGGTTAGTGACAGCCTGTCTACATTGTTCACTGATGTTCTTGCCCTGGTGAGTTACATGTCTACACTGCATACAGATTTCAGACACAGAAAGGAACTCCAAGTAGGAAAGCATTGCTCTTCAGTCAAGAGTCCATGGGTTCATTCATTCATTAGAATAAATACTAGTTTAAAATAATAAAAAAGCAGTAAAAAAAAAAAAAAAAGGCCACTTGTTCATAGACATTTACATGGAATTCATGTATTTTAGGCCAATTTCCCAGCTAAACACCTCCAGTAAATGGATTATTTCAGTAAGGTTTTTACAGACATAGTTGTCCCCCATCATCTATCTGCTGACAGATAAATGGTATAAGAAACCCCAGCTGATGACTGAAACTACAGGTAGTACCAAACTTTATATATATATTATGTTTTTTCCTGTATATGCATGTATTTGATGAAGATTATAAATTAAGTACAGTAAAAGACATGATAGAGTTAACATTAAACAATTATAACATTTCTGCCACAACAGGTAATTTGGCAACCTGGATAGTTACTAAGTAACTAATGGGTAGCCATAATATACAATGTGGATACACTGAACAAAGGTAATTAGCATTAGGGCAGAATTTCAACATGCTGCTCCGAAATAGTCACAACGTAACATGAATTATTTCCACTTAATGTTTTTGGTCTATACTTGTTAATGGGTAACTAAAACCATAGTGAAATCTTTCATGAAATGGGACTACTGTATATGGGGATTTTCATGTTTTATTTCCTGTTAAACACTCATTTCACCTCTTTATGCCTGTGGGTAGGGTCAGAAACAAACACTATGGGTTTCCTACAAGGACAATGACAGGGTGACTGCAGAGTGAGTAAGAAGGAGCGCCCACTGCCAGCACATGGTGTTCATCTAATGTATGTGATCCTTGCTTGAAGTCGTCCAAAATAGCTTCAAGATATGATGATAAAAATTTATACAGATCTACCATTAGGAAAGTATAGCTCTGCCCTGTAATCAGCTACATGTACATCAACCCAAACGATAAAATATACAACTGTTTGACAAGTAGTCAGATTAGAATCACTGTGAACTGTAGCCTTTTCAGTTATATTTTTTCCTTAACATTTGACTTCATTCCTTAAAAAAAAAAAAAGACAAATGTTACATGAACTTTAATATTAATCTAGCTTTGGCAGAGATGTGGTGATTTAATGGATTACAGCATTTAGCTTTTTTACCCCAGAGAGCAATATTTCTTCTTTCTCTCCATAATTAGATAATCTGCTGCTACCCATTACCAAGGGCACTAAATTTCAAATCCTCTGTACACCTGAACAGGCTGCTACATATCTGGCCATCTTAATTTTAGTCTTGATTTATGGATGCTGAATTACATTCCTAACCCTTCCTGGAGCTCTGGGTGAATTTTATTGCAAAAGCAATGGAGAGAAAAGTTAGCATCATATATCTCTCTTGCCGGGCAGGTTTTTAGACACACGAGGGGCTCCAAATCCCGCTGTTCCGTGTCTTGTATGGTGGATTTATAACACTGTGAAGCCCAGCTCTAGGGTTACACACAAGCATATCACAGATGAGATGGGGAATTTGATTTTGCAATAATGATTACTTGTTGCGGAGCCCAGATTCCTGCAGGCTCTGCTTCTATTCCCCAAACTGCCTGTGAATAAAACTAATTCCTACTGCTTCCCAATTTAGTAAAACTCATCTTTCACCGAGCAGAGGGAGGCCAAAAGAAGGTAGGTGCAAAGTCAGGAGAACCTAAAAGATGAACCAGTTTTGCCGTTACGTCTCAAGTGTCTCTGCTTCCATGATCACACTTCCTTTAGGAATGTTGCTTCCTTGTGAGGGAATAGAAGCCCTGAACCTTTCCAGCTCAGTGGGTTAATTTGATAGTTCCTTCGTGCTGTCGCTTCCTCATCCTCAAGGCCAGGTCCCTGGGGCTTGCCGGTTGGATTATAGATCCTGCAGATTTGGCCTGCCGTTCCTGCTGAGTGTCATCTGTCCCTGCAGTCTTGCCACGGATAAAATTTATTCTCCCCCCCCCCCCACATCATCTGCTTGAGAAATCCATGCCTGGCGGGCCTGTCTGTCCACGTTAAGTCTGAACTACAGTTGCCATACAGCTAATTTGACAAGGCATAGCTTTAAATAAGAAGGCCCCAGGCTTGCTTTGACCAAGACGAAACTTCCAACCCCCAGATTACAAATTCCAAAGCTCCTTTGACGCAGTCTCTGTGATTTACGTTATCTGCAACCGCCCCATGTGTCTTTACGTCTTGCAGCACTTACCTGCCATGTCTTAAAGGTCCTTAGAGACTTTGAAGTTGCCGACTAGCCTTTCCAGTACTGTTTTCAGCATTGAAGCCCCATCTGTCGGATTAAACAACAGTATAGCAATGTCCCTTATCCATAGAGGATACATTTTACAGAGGTTGCCAGGAACCCTAAGTAGTACCTCGGTTAGCTTTCCATTCCAGGTAACAAAAATCCTTAGGATCATTAACTCAGAAGATGGATGTACTGTGCTTCACAGCTTTGGGAGTTCGTGGTCATCTGGGCCCTTCCCTCCTGTTGCTTTAGCATCTGAGATGAGACAGCATATCAAGGCTGGAGATTGTGAGTCAAGCTGCTCATCTCATGGCCAGAGGGATGTGGGGTGTGACGGTGAAAAGGAGAAGAAAGGAGAGGGTGGCATCCCAAGGACATGCCTTCAAGGACATGCCACCAATGGCCTAATGACGCTCTGTAAGGCCCTGTCTTTCAAAGACCCCACCACCTCCAGTAGCACCAGGCTGAGGTCCAAGTCCTTATTGACTCACAGGCATGTGAGGAGCATCACACAGGCATGTGAGGAGCGCCACACAGGCATGTGAGGAGCGTTTCAAATTCCCAACTATAGCAGTGTCATGTAAGAGTAGGGATTTTTTTTTTATACATACACATACCTTTATTAAAACCCAAATTGTAAGTTAGAGATTTTTCTGTTGCTGTGATAAAATACCATGACATAGACTTTATTTTGGTTTATGGTTTCAGAGGGATAGAGTCTTCATGGTGGGAAAGGCATGGCACAACAGCAGGAACAGGTAGCTGGCTGATCACATGCAATGCTGGCTGATCTGCATGCAAGAAGCACAAAGAGCAGGCAGTGGGTGAGTCTAAACACACACACACACACACACACACACACACACACACACACACTCACACCCTTTGTCCTAAAACGTGCCTAAATCCATGACATACTTCTCCAACAAGGCTAACCCTCCT